GTAGCTTTCTCGTCTCTGAATCAGAAGGCTATAGGTTCAAGGCCCATGTCAGGGCTTTGAAACCATTAGTATACAATGACACTATTCCAACGTGGACACTGACTGCCACGTTCGCCTACAAAATATACTTTACAATATATATGTTAAGCACCCCGAAGCGTACTCCTGAGATGAAAAGTGCCATTTCAAATACAAGTAATATATAATTCAAGGCTAAAAGTAGTGATTCTTGCAATCCTACAGCACCTTATCACGTCTTTGATACAACAACAACTTGGATTTATATAGCGCCCACCATGCCGGACGGCGTCTCAGAGAAACATTTCAAAGCGCTTCAGAGAATATATTGTAAAGTGAATTGACATCATCCGCAGACATGAGGTAAATTTCCACACGTATGTGGGTGACACCCAACTCTATCTCTGCCTCCATCCTCAACTCCAAGACTACTGGTGTTATGACTGACTTCTGACATCAAGTCCTGGACAAGGGACAACTTTCTCCAACTTAATGTCAGCAAGACCAATCTCCTGATTGGCTCGCGCCAGTGCCTCCGCACCTCGGGCATTGGCAGCATCAGCCTCCACGGCTGCACACTCAACCTCACTAAGCCAGTCAGGAACCTGGGTGTCTTGTTTGACCCTGAACTGTCCTTTCTCCCCCACATACGTGCCATGACCGGCACTGCCTACCACCACCTCCGCAACATTGCCAGACTCTGCCACTGCCTCACCCCTCAGGCTCCGAAACCCTCACCCACACATTCATCACATCAAGGCTCAATTATGGAAATTCGTTCCTCATCGGCCTTCCCAACTCTTCCCTTCACAACCTGCAGATCATCCAAAACTGCAGCTTGTGTACTCTAGTGCACCAGGCTCTGCGACCCCATCACTCCCACCCTCACCCAACTCCACTGGTTCCCCATCCCTCAGACGATTGAATTCAAGATCCTCATTCTCACTTTCAAGGCCATCCATGGCCTTGCCCCCTCCTACCTCTCTGACCTGCTGATTCCCTACCAACCTTCAGTTGAACCTTCTGTTCAGCGGGCTCCAGCCTGCTCCATGTCTCCCACCCTACCCGCCCTACCATTGGTGGCTGGGCTTTCAGCCTCTCTGCCCCCACACTCTGGGACTCCATCCCAGAGTCCCTTCGCCTCGCTTCCTCCCATGCCTCCTTCAAGGCCGGACTCGACCCTCCTCTTCAATTGTGCCTCGGTCACCCTCCCACCCCTCTGCCTTCCCTCACTCCTACCCCACCACTCTCCCATGCTCGGGTCCTGACCCCTGACTGTCCAGCGCCTTGGGACGTCCTCCCAACGTGAAAGGTGCTCTAAATGTAATTTTGTTGTTGTTGACTATATTTTGTGGGCAAAATACTGCAGTCAATTGTCCGTAGAAGTGTCCCACAAATAGTCGTGAAGTGAGTGACCAAATTATTTTTTGTACAATATTTTTGAAACATCTAATGTCTGAAACCCTGTGAATATGCAATAATGCAATATTTTTGTTGACATCTTATTGCCTATTATGTTTGGTTTTAATGCTATACTGTATATCAAAAACATACGACTTCCGAAAACATTGATCAAAAAGTACATCACGTTGATCAATGGATTCCTTAATTTGCACTAACATTGTACCACAAACAGCAGTTAAATATATTGCCAGTTAATCTGGTTTTGAATGAACCAGAATCAGAGAATACATCTGGAAAACTGCAAGGAAATGTAAAATTAGAAAAAAAAGTTTGAAATGTATCTATTACTGTGGCATTATATCTTCATTATTAATGATGGTCATAAGCAACAACAACTTGCACCTATATTGCGCCCTCCATGCAGGGTAGCATCTCAAAGCGCTTAACAGTGGCAGAGCCTGACTCTAAGCTGGGGGGCTGGAGTGGGAGTTTACCATAAGCACAATTGAAAAGGAAGGTTTTCAGGCGGGACTTGAAAAAGGGAAGAGAGGGAGCACGGTGGAGCAAATGAGGGTGAATGTTCTAGAGTTTGGGAGTGTAGAAGCTGGAAGCGCACCCTCCAATGGTAGAGTGGAGGGTGCGAGGGACAAGCAGGAGGCCAGTCCCAGTCGAGTGGAGGCGCCGGGTGGTGGATTGTGGAGTGAGGAGGTCAGAGAGGTAGGGAGGTGCCAGGGAGTGAAGGATTTGAACACAAGTGTGAGGATCTTGAAGTCGACCCGTTTGGTGATGGGGAGCCTGGCCAGAACTGGTGAGACGGGGTTACAGAGTTAGGTCCAGGTAAGTATGCAGCAGCAGAGTTCTGAATGAGCTGGATTTTTTACTGGAGCTGGGCACATTAGTTCAGTGAGTCTGAAGGGGAGCCAAGGGACCTTGAAGAGTTCAGATCCTCATGAGTGAGAACGTTGACAGGTGCCAAGGAGTATGGCTTCCATCTTGTCCACATTCAGCTGCAGGAACTTTGCACTCATCCGGGCCCTGATGTCTGCCAGACAAGCTGATAGAACATCGGCGGCCCTGGAGTTCGTACTGGAGGAGGCAAAGTAGATTAGTGTGTCATCTGCATACGTGGGGAAGATTATCCTGTGAGAATACCAGTGGTTTAACTGAAATCCAGTTTATACCCTTGCATTTAATATAGTGCCTATAATGTCAAAACATCTTTTAAAAAACAGTTGGCAAACACAACAGCCAGTTTTTTGTACATAGCAAAGTCCCTCAAATAGCCATGAAGTGAATAACTAATTTATCTGCAAGGTTGTTGACCCCCTACCCCCACCCCCAGAGAAACTTTAAATACTGACCGTTCCATTTGTCTGGTATGCAGTGTGTACTTTGCCCCTGAGTGATATATTCTGTTTACTTAATACCAGAGGTACAGGTTGGAAAATTTGCAAGTTGCGTTTAAGGACTTTTGAAATCCACTTAAGCAAACAGAATGTTGGTGTAAAAGGAAAACCACCTCTGACAATGCAGCCCTCCACTGAACTGTAGCCCTGTCAACCTGAACTTTATAAGCTGAAGTCCCTTCATGAAGCATGAGCCTTAACCATCTGAACCAGAGACATCACTACAAACCAAGTCAAATGGACACCTATTGTGTTGGTGTATTTATTTGTTATTTCTAGAACTTACTTTTCAATATTTCCTAATGTTCCTCTTTACTATGTTGTGGGTTACTGTATTTAATAATCCTTGCATTTGATATAATAATAATAATCCTTGCAAACAAAAACAGAAGTCGCTGGGAACACTCAGCAGGTCAGGCAGCATTTATGGTGAAAGGAAAGTGAGTCAACATTTGGGATCCACGATTCTTCATCAGTACACGTTTTTGTGTTTTGTTTGATAATAATCCTTGCATTTGATATAGCGCCTTATGTCATCTTCGAGATGTCTCAAACTGCTTCACAGCAGATATTGTAGTGAATTGACCGCATATTTTGTGGGTAAAACGCAGCAGCCAATTGCACACGGTGGTGCCCCACAAAGTCATGAATCCAGTGACCAGCTTATTATATATTTTAAATTTGGCCCCTTTTATGCTTTTAAAATCGACTTCTTTTCTTTAAGTCCAGTTTTGCCACCATGATTTCCTGATTTTGTGCTGAGACGATTTTAAGACATTGCTGTCAGACAGACATCTGGCAAAAATCACTGGAAATATTTAGGAAAGTATGTTCAACCCTTCCTAACATCATGGGCAAACCTGCAAACTATTACATGTCGTAGGAAATCACAGTTCTATGTTCTGCCATTTTGTTGCACAGTACATTGGAGCACCAAGACACTGCATTGTTCGGGGTAAAACAGGATGTTTTTAAAATCCAAACGTAAGGATTGTTTTATTTATTTAAAAGGGTACCTTATTTTATTTCCCGTTCCGCTTTGGCAGAGTACAGCACGATGCAAAATGGGTAAAATTGCAACTATTGCAGTCTCATCTGATCCCTGCGCTTTGCCTGATGTGTTTTTCTTGTAACCACGTTTTTATTTGAACTCCATTTTAATTTTTTTAAAAAAGGAATTCTTATTGTTCCAGGGGCTGAGGGGCATTACTTTTTAAAAAATGAGAGGGCGGGGACAGTGTTGCAGAAGCGGAATGAAGTGCTTTTTTATATAAAACATGAGTTGCAGATAGATTACACAGCACTTAAAGAGCGGTTTTCTTACGCAGCGCCTTCTGCGCACTGCTCACTGGCCATGGTGAGGGTGCGCAGAATCCTGGGTGTGCAGTTCTCGCGGGGATCGAGGGGAAGGTGGCGGCGGAATAGGTGGCGGTGCGCTGTCAGACTACAACACCCAGAAGGCATCGGGAAGCCAAGCCAGCCTCCTTCGGATTAACCTACCACGTGAGAGTGATCACGCGGCTTTGTGGGACGTGTAGTTTCTTTCGGGGGCGAAAGGTCAGAAGAGTACACGAGACTGCGACGCTCACAAGGTATTGTGGGTAAACGCCGGTACGGGCGGGAGACAGGAAGAAAAAAAGCGTCTTCCAGGGATCTCCCTGGGGCGCGTGCGCAGTGTTGTCGGATCAGTGCGTGAAACGCGGCTTTGGGCGGGTGTCTAAATGGTTTAAACAATTCTAAACCTGCAACGCGTTTCTCTTTCTCTTTGAAGACTTTTCCCCTCACTTTCAAAAGCACTAACCCTCCGCCAGCCACTCCGCCGCTACCCTTTAGCAGGCGAGGCATCGTTATTGGGCGAGTGTTCAGCGGGTGTTGGGCGGGTTGGGGGCCACAGAGACGTGCTTTAATTTCTATCCGGACTGCGCATGTGTGAGAGCGCGGGGTGGGGGGGAGGGGCAGTCACTGCGCTTCAGTTGCTGATTCGGCGGCGGCCGCTTGTACCATAGCAACAGCTGTTCAGCAGCGACTCCAACCCCGGCCTCAGCGAAGGCCAGAGGCCCGCCCCGACATGTAATTTATTATGTTGTTTGTCTTCCGCCACAACCAACACCAGCCATCCCTCCCCCCCCCCCACCCACCCCTCACTACTCTCTCCCTCGGGGGGAAACGTGTGCAAATCCGTCCTCCCGTCACCCTTTTCGCACTGAATGGGGAGGGCGGAGGGGATAAACCCACTTTGGTTTAAAAGGAAATCCTTGGCCGCGGCGGGCGGACGCGACCGATCGCTGCCTTTTTTTGGGGGGCAATTTAAATCAAACCGTAAACTTCAACACGAACGACCTTTTGAGTGCGAGTGAGTGAGAGTGTGTGTGTTGGGTATTTTGTTTGCTTTGCGCGGCGCACCTTCCACCGTCGAGAGTCCGTTTTGAGAGTTGCAATTTTCTTTTATTTCCCCCCCTCCCCCTCCCCCAAAAAAGGAGAAAAACCCGTCCGAAAAGTTGTCGCAATGTGAGTTGCTAATAAGCCGCTATTTTGTCATAGACCCCACTCTGCCATATTGAGATTCAAATCGTTGCGTGTGAGTGAGTGTGAGTGTGTGGTGCGTGTGTGTGTGGGTGAGTTTGTTGGTCAGTGAGCGACTTGAGCCGAGGCTAAGTTTTGGAGGGGAAAAGTGGTGCCTTTGCTGTTTAATAAGAGAGTCTTATAGCGAGAGAGAGAGAGAGAGAGAGAAGGGTTAAAAAGAGAGAGAGAGAGATAGAGGGAGTGTGTGTGTGTGTGGGGTGGGGGGGGGTTGGCGGTGTTGCTCGTGAGTGGTCGGTAAAATGAACGGTTTCAGCACAGAAGAGGACAGCAGAGACGGTGGGGCCGGGGCTCCGGGCTTCGGCCACATTTGCTGTCTGGTGGATGATGGGGAAAGGTGCAGCCGCCCCGCGGGCAACGCCAGCTTCAGCAAGAGGATCCAGAAGAGCATTTCACAGAAGAAGCTCAAGCTGGAAGCCGACAAGAACGTAAGTCGGTTTCGCGCGGTGTTTTCTCGGTGCCCCCGGACGGCGAGAGGAGCCGTTTGTTTCGTTTTTCAAAAAAAAAAAAAATCAAAAAAAAAAAATCTTAAAAGATAGTTTTCTGATGGTGGTGCCCAGAGCCGTGCGCGCACCGCACCGCACCGCGCACCGCACCGTGAGGGCAGGGCTTCGGTGCACCGAGAATACTCCCCTCCACCGTGTGACACTGCCGTCATGCGGTCCACGAAGCGGCCGCGAACACCGATCAAGTCCCTATAGACCGGGAGCAGCTGAGGCTGAGCGAAGGCAAAGCCGACCTTCCTGTAGAGATTGGGGTACAAGTTGTACACGGACTGTGCGCTGCAGTTTTCACACTGCGCCTTCTCTGGCGGCTCACAAGCCCCTGTTGCGGGATGAGTGGATGATTTTCTTCCCTTGTGTTTTTTTTAAAGCGTTTCCATCACGGGAGTGAGAAGCGCTGTTCGTTTAAAAACGGCGGCGCGTATTACTGGGTCCCCCACACTGCTGTGTCCCCACAAATAACCATTACAATACTTGAAGGGTAGAGGATTGCATTTGACTGGTCAGGTGTTTGAACTCAAATGAGGATTCACAGGGTTTACTGTGAAATGGAGTTTCTAAGCATATACGGCAGTGACCCACAATCAGCCAGGAAACAAATGACCAATTTTTATTTGGTGGATTATTGGAGAGGTCACCTGGAGAAACTAACTCCCTTCTCTTTTCAAATAGTTAATGTCCACCTAAACAGGACCTTGGTTTAACGTCTCAACCGAAGGATAACACTCCTTAACAACGCAACCCTCCCCCACAGCATTGCATTGGAGTGTACAAAACACGGGCAGTATCCTATAATAACCCTTCCGTTTGATATAGCACCTCATGATGTCTTTGAGACAACTCAAAGCGCTTCACAGAATATATTGTAAAGTGAATTGACTGTATTTTTCAGGCAAAATACAGCATTTAATTGCACCCAGGAGTGTCCCACAAACAGTCGTGAATTTGAGTGACCAAATTATTATTTTTAAAAAAAAGGGATTTCTTTACTTTGTGATATCCTCCTGATGTCGAAGGCTTTATACCAAAAATTCTATTATTATTATTAATATCCTAACTTTTTTTNACTTGTGCAGCCAAATGGACTTTATGATATAAAACTATTATAATATAACAATCCTAGCATTTGTTATAGCACCTTTCATGTCGTGACAATGTACAAAAGTACTATTAAAAGGCAGTTACATCAGGTTTGACATTTGAAATTGCAATGCACTGCCAAGCAATGTGGCTTGCTCTCTCGAAGCATGATCTGTGCTTCCCAATTCACATCACTTTGAAATGGATCAAAAACTGCAATGTATATGTATGTCCTGTAGCTCGGTGGTTAGAGTACTCAAGTGAAGGGGTCCTGGGTTTGATTTCCGTCAGGGCTAAACGTTAGGCAAGTTTCCTTACTTCACATGCCTCTGTTTCCCTAGCAGTAAATAGGAACCCAGTTGTCAGTCGATTGGAGGATTGCTTTTCTGAGGGTAATAATCCCTTTACAAAAAGAAAGAAAAAAAATTGTTTACTCAATCCACGACTGTTTGTGGGACACTGCTGTTCACAATTGGCTGTTGCGTTTCACCCACAAAATATACAGTGAATTCACTTTACAGTATACTCTGAAGAGCTTTGAGACATCTCGAAGATGTGATAAGGCGCTATATCAAATGCATTGAATATGATTATTATATTATTATGATTATTATGTTATTATTATGTTAATTGACCGCCAAAATTAAATGTTTCTTCTTAAAATGCTATTAAAGAAAGAACTTGTATGTCTCTAGTACCTTATATCAATAATAATAATACTTGCATTTTATATAGCGCCTTATCATGGCTTCAAGGCGTCTCAATGTAATCCTAGTGTGATTTGCACCTACCTCATTTATACTGTCTTGCCATAAATCACTCTTAAAACTAGGTAGTGCCAGCAGCAGGGAGAGAACAGGAATCCTGTGAGATTCTTGTTGCTTCAAACTCCAATTATGTTCCTACCTCCCAATCTTGCAATCATTGCCAAAATATAACTTCAGCATTAAATGTCTTTTTTAAAATCCTTTTTTGTTTGCTGATTATTCTTTTGCCTTCTGTACATTTAGTTATCAAACTTTTCAGTTTTGAATTTGTCCTTTCATCCTTGGATAACTCAGACAGTTTGTCACAGCACAACCCTGATTCTCCTGCACTTCCAGGATCCTGGCTCTCATACTTGTGCAACCTCGAAATCCCACCTAAATACATTCACATGGTTGCTATGTTTTGCGACCCACCGGAGACGTCATACATAGAATCTCCAGTGTTTACATAAGGCCTGGGTAGTTTTTAACTGAAAGAAGTCTTAATTCTGTATGCTTAACTTGTGATTATCAATGTAATGCATGCCCACACATTTTGATATTCTCTCTCTTTCTCTCTCCCCTCCCCCCCACGCTCTGTAATTATCACATTTAACTCAATTTCTGTTCTCTCCACCCACCCCAGGTCCGACATCTGTATATATGCGATTTCCACAAAAGTTTCATTCAAAGTGTGAGAAATAAGAGAAAGAGAAAAGGCAGTGATGATGATGGGGGAGATTCACCTGACCATGATGCTGAATCTCCAGAGGTAAATGTGCCTGCCATTTAGATGATTTTAAGAAGAACTTCATAAAATAATTCAAGCGAGAGCAAGCAAATTGTGATTTTCAACTTGTGCTAGCCCTGGCTTGGGGTAAGAGGTGAGGCTGCTACTAACCAAGCCAGGCTGATATCTCTTGACTTTGACTTTTTCCAATGTTTTTGATATCAGAATTTTCCTTTTGAAATGTATTTATTTCAGTACCATTCCAGCTGCATTTAATCTAATGTAAAAGTCGCACAATAGTGTCTTTTGGTTTTAGAGGAAGAAATTACCATTAACGTCATTAATTTTTCCCACATAATTTTGCTGCATTGTAGGAGATGCTGACCTTTGGATGAGATGTTAAACCAAGATCGTTTGCCACTCCAGGTGGACTTTAAAGATTGCATTGTTATTTTTTTTAAAACAAGGAAGTGAATTTGTCCTGGCTAACAATCCCCCACATAATGTTGGTCATTCACTCCATGATGGGTTGTGGAACATTGGCTGCCTCGTTTGCCCACAAAACATACACAGTTACATGACTACAGTGTATCCTGGGAAGCGCTTTCAGACATCTCAATGATGTGACAAAATATTATCGAATGCATAGATAAAAAAAAATGAACATGGTCCCCCTATGAGAGCAGTATCCTCACATTCCTTCTTTCTCTCTCCCAGCTTTTGTTTAACCCAATTCCAAGCCTAGAGGCTCTGAGGCCAAGTTTAGTGCCTATACTGCAATGTAAAATGAGATGATTGATTGAGACAGATTAGTTTTGCTACGTGAGGTGCTTAGCTACTGCGCTATTGGAGACCTCAGTATTTCTAAACTAGTGTTGCCAGCAATTATGCTATCGTGGAAGTGTTTCTGATGCTGTAAAGGGAACAGAATCAACATCAGTAAGAAAAAGAAAGAACTTGCATTTTTAGCATTAACATTTGTTCACACTGGCCTCAATCTTTCTTCCAGTATAGCATCCCATTAAAGGTACTAACCTTCAATATTTTTTAAGAAAATGGAGCACAAAGGTATGTTAATAAGTAAGACCTTTTTTCACCATCTTACCCTGAAGCATTAACAATAATCCTTGCATTTCATTCAGAACTTTATCAAAAAAAAGGCCTTCCTTTTATGAAGGAAAAATTGTGCTTAATGGCACAGATTCTTTGGGAGCTTTTCTTGAGTGTCTTGCTTTAATATTCCCCATGCAGCGGCTTGATTTCAGGGTCACTGCTGAATTTGGACCACCACACTTTCTCATAGTGTGACCAAAGTGGAGTGGAGCAAAATGCAAAATCTTTTAGGGATTGTAAGATATATTATATATAATATATATAATTATAAGATTATAGTAAGAATTGCATGTGAAATATGTGTGATTAAGTCATTGAATTAATGTTTGTACTTGTTCAGTACTGGAGTATATTTTTAGAAACACTGTCTCAGAATTGAAGTGCGAGGTTGCATCGCTGGGAATGAAGTTTAATTGCATAGGTTTAGCTATTTATGACATTTTGTACTTTTTTGAGGCGTGGAGATATAATCCTTACATTTGATATAGCGCCTTTTATTTCTTACATTTGATATAGCGCCTTTTATTTCTTGGAGGCGGTGGGGTACACAGTGCTTCAAAGGATATACTGTAAAGTGTAGTGACTGCATATTTTGTTGGCGAACATGGCAGCCAATTGCCAATTTCATTTTGGGAATTGTTGGCCAGGACACTGAGAAATTCTCATTTTGAATGGGGTCTTTAACATCCACCCAAGCAGGCAGGCAGGACCTTGGTTTAATGTAGGTCAGCACCTCCAACAATGTAGCACTGTATTGGAGTGTCAGCCTGTACTATGTGAGTTATGAAATGGAAAGTGTAATCAACAAACTAAAGGAAGGCAGCAGAATGTCAAAAACGAAGTCAATTTGCATTGACCTGTTTTGTATGTTTGATAAACTCCATTTTACAATAATCTTGTTTAAGAAAAAAATGGAAATCGGTTCTTAGCTTGTCATTTTGACGGGGCAGCAACGAATGGAGAGAGCTTGGTTCGAAAGTAGACACTGCCTTCTACAGTAAGTTAACCGTCATTATCAATTCAATTTTCATAGAAAATAAGGTGCACGATGAGCTTCCTGTTGCTAATGGATTTTAGTTATTGCAAGACAAACCGAAGCATAGCAATTTAAAGCCACGGGAGACTATTGCTAACTGAGCATTTGAAGAAGCAAATATTAGAAAATCCTTCTTTATAGGATCTTTCTTCTATAAGAATGTTGTGTTTTTTGCTAAATTTACACAGCAAATTTCTAAAAATACATCCATCAACAGAAGGTGATCCAGAAAAATACCCTAGTGGATCCAAAAAAGAACGCTCTCGAGTTCCAGCCAGGGTTCAATAACATCGAGAGCACCTCCCGAGGGCAAGAAGTGAAATTTGCATTATTTTGGCAGCAAGAAACATAAATAAGTAATACACTGCAAATATTGAAGTCATTTGTTCTCCTCTGCTGGAGACTTTTATTCTCCTCTGCCATTGCATTTTTTTTAATATATTGTTTTAATTAAAATTGTGCAGCTGTAACAAAACCATTTCTCAGCTCTGCCTATCCTCTGGTCGTGTAGGAATGCTGTGCAGTTTTTTGGGTTGACATTCTATTGAGTCTGCACATGCAGTTTGGCACCTGTGGTTTGTTTCAGCAAGGTCACTAGACTGGGGTGGAACTTGTCAAATAGAGAGGTTGTCATTGAGGCAGACTGAGTAGGAAGCTCTGTTTCGTCACTGGCCTGAGTTCACCCAATGTTAGACAAGTAGAGGGGTGTGAAGAGTTACTTCAAAGTGTCCATTGTTGAAAGGGACGAAAGATGCCCAAGCCACAATGGGCTAAGTAGTTTTCTGTGCTAGAAATTTCTACTTTCTATTTCATTGCCTGAGTCAACCAGTGATGAGAGTATGATTTGGCTCTATTACATTACCTGACATGGTCAAAGTCTGGTCGGCCTTACGAATAAATGGGTCACTGGGTGATATTGCCATCGTTGGAACAGCATCCCAGTGTAATTCAAGGTCAGCGGGGTGTATTTAGTCTGAAAACTTTCAGTGTTTTTTGTTATATTTACAAAGATTAATTGAGTAATGTTTCATACGAGTATCCTGTCTTAACTTTGTGGTTCTCAAAAGTGCATAGTTTAATGCACACTAATAAAATGATCACCATCTCTGTTACTTCTGCGAAATTGTCTGATTGTTCAGACTGATTTGAGTCATGGACATAAATCCATGTCCAATGATGGGATAGGACAGAGCAATGGGATTAAGAGTAGATGGTTTCAGTGGTGGATTGTGTACAATCACAAGTATATTTGCCTGCTAGTCTCTACACACCCATCACTACTCTCAGCAGATTGATTTTCAAGGTCTTCACTCTTGCCAACAACAACAATATTACATTTGTATGGTGCCTTTCACGTTGGGAGGATGTCCCAAGGCGCTGGACAATCAGTGTTTCAGACCAAGCTGGGGGTTGGGATCAGGGTGGGGTAGGGTGAGGGGAAAGGAGGGTGACCGAAGCCAAGGTTGAAGAGGAGGGTCTTGATACAGATCTTGAAGGAGCCTCTGGACGGGCAAGGCGGAGGGACTGCGGGGTGGAGTTTCAGAGGGTGGGGGCAGAGTGACTGAAGACCTGCCTGCCAATGGTGAGACGGGCAAGGCAGGGGATGTGAAGCAGGCTAGAGCCCACTGAGCGGAGGGAGCAGGCAGGTTGGTAGGGGGTTAGGAGGTTGCAGAGGGAGCAAGGCCATGGAGGACTTTGAAATTGAGGAGCAGGATCTTGAACTGTATCCTCCGTGTGATCGGCAGCCAGTGGGGTTGGGCAAGGATGAGGGTGATAGGATTGTAGAGCCTGGTGCGGGAGAGGACACGGGCTGCAGAGTTCTGGATGATCTGTAGGCTATGAAGGGAGCAGTTGGGGAGGCCAATAAGAAGGGGGTTTGATTGTCGAACCTGGGTATGAATGCGTGTCTAATGGTGGAGCTGGGCAATATTTCGGAGGTGGGGGAAGGCAGAGCAGATCATGGCACGGATGTGGGGTAGAAAGGACAGTTGAGATGCTAAAGTTCTGGACTGGCTTTGTAAGGTGGAGTGTACATCCTTGGATGGTGATGCTGTCAGTGCCTGAGATGTGGAGGCGCTGACGGGAGCCAATCAGAAGGGCCTCGGTCTTGTTGACGTTCATCTGTAGAAAGTTAGCTCTCATCCAGGACTTGATGTCTGACAGACATTCTGTCAGGATAGCAGTGGTCCTGGAGGCAGAGAGATAGAGTTGGGTGGCATCCTCATTCATGTGGAAGTTGACTCCATATCTGTGGATGATGTCACCAGGAAGGAACATATCAATATTGAAGAGGAGGGGACCAAGGATAGAGCCCTGAGAAACCCTGCACGAAGGTTGAAGTGAGAGGTGAGGCGGTGGAGGAGGATGGAGTGGTCAACTGTATCGAAGGCAGCAGAGAGGTCGAGGAGGCAGAGGGAGCCCTGGTCTCAGATGGACGAAATGTCATTTGTTACTTTGACCAAAGCTGTTTGTGTGCTGTGGGCGGCACAGAAACTTGATTGGAGAGGTTCGTGGAGGGAGAGGAAGGAGCGAAGCTAGGAAGCAACAACTTGTTCCAGGACTTTGGAAAGGAAATGGAGGTTGGAGATGGGGTAGTAGTTTGAGAGCAGGGATGGGTCCAGGGAGGGTTTTTTTTAAAAGGAAAGAAGTGATGATGGACATTTTTAAATGGATGGGAATGGTGCCAGTGGACAGGGAGAGGTTTATGATGTCTGTGAGTAGAGGGAAAGGAGGTGAAGCTGGGAGATGAGGTGAAGGGTAGGGATGGGGTCGAGGGAGCAGTTGGGACAGGTTCGCAGGTGTGGAGGGAGGGATGGGTAGGGGCCTGGGTGGGAGGTGGAGATGAGGAGGGGTTAGTAATCGGAAGGGTAGAGACAACTGAGTGGTTTTGAAGGAAGATAGCATCTCTTCGCAGTTGGCATTGGAGGAGAGTGGGAACGAGGAGTGAGAGGGTGAGTGGAGGAGCCGGTTGGTAATGAAGAGGAGGAGCCTGGGGTTGTCCTTGGCTTCCAAGATTGTCTTGGAATAGAAGAACGATTTAGCGGAGGTGAGGTTGGTGCAATATGTTTTGATAAGGTCCAGCCAGATCTGCCGATGGCCTGATAAGTTAGATTTGAGCCTGTGTCTCGATCAGGGGAAAAGTCTCAGCTGGGGTGACCCAGGTTTCGGTGAGGGAGAGGATGTTGGTGTTTACGTCGACAAATCTGTTTGTACCTCCTGTCATCTTATCTCTCCAATCTCCTCCCACCTTACTCTTCCAACCTTCCTCTCCGATCAGTTAACTGGGGCTTGCTGCGCATCCCAAGCTTTCTCTGTGCCACGATCAGTGTTTGAGGCCTCAGTTCTACACCTCTAACATCTGGAGCTCTCTACCACTCTCTCGCCTCTTTCTGGTTAAGTCCTGTCTCAAAACCTACCTGTTTGATTGCACTTTTGGCCACCTTCCTCTCTTCTCTCCCCTTTCCCCACACACCCCTTCTCTGGGTCCAACTCCATCCCTATATAGCTCTCAAGCATTGCCCTATGTGAAGGGGGCAATATAAATGCAAGTTGTTATTGCCCTCTTGTGCTGCAAATATTCTAATATGGTAAAACTTTGTTCAGAGAAAGGTGCAATGTTTCTGATTTGAGCAGGACAGTAGGTTCGGATAGTTTGTGCTCTGCTGCACATAGTTTCACTTTATTTTACAGAGAAAATTGTTCCCAATCAATGTTATAATAATATAATAATAATCCTTGCATTTGATATAGCGCTCTTCACATCTTCTCGACGTCTCAAAGCGCTTCACAGAATATACTGTAAAGTGAATTGACCATATTTGTGAGCGAAACGCGACAGCCAATTGCGCACAGCAATGTCCCACAAACAGTCGTGGATTGAAAATGACCAATTTATTACTGGTTTTATTTTTTTGGAGGGATTATTATTGGGCGTGTGGCTTGATCTCCTCAAAATCTACCACTCCACTCTAGCCTCGGCCAAGTCGTCCTTCTACTCCAGGATAATCCTGGAGGCGAAGAACAGCCCCAGGCTTCTGTTTTCTACCACAACCCGACTCCTCCGTACCCCCGCCACCCCGCGCAGGTCATCTCGTCCAACCTTCACTGCGAGGAGATGCTGGATTTCCTTGAATCCAAAATCAAGGGAATCTGCTCCGCGGTCACTCCCTCCAACTTCCACCCACCCCCCACCCCATCCCTCCCACACTCCGACTCCTACCCATCCTCCCCTACACACGTTCGTACCCGTTTCCCCACCCTCTGTCACCAAACTCATCCTATCCCTGAAACCCACCACCTGCTCCCTTGACCCCATCCCCACTCCACTCCTTATCTCTCAGCTCCGCCTCCTTGCCCCACATATCACAGACATCATCAACCTGTCCCTCTCCTCTGGCTCTGTTCCCATTTCCGAAAAACTTCCACCATCACTCCCACTTTGAAAAAACCCTCCCTTGATGCGTCGCAGCTATCAAGCTACCGGCCCATCTCCAACCTCCCCTTCCTGTCCAAGGTCCTTGAAAGAGTTGTCGCCTCCCAGCTACGCTCTTTCCTCTCCACCCATTCATTACTCGAACCCCTTCAGTCGGGCTTCCGTGCTGCCCATAGCACAGAAACTGCCCTGGTCAAGGTCACCAATGACATCCTGACCATCTGTGACCAGGGCTCCCTCTGCCTCCTCGTCCTCCTCGACCTATCGGCAGCATTCGATACGGTCGACCACGCTATCCTCCTCCACCGCTTGTCCTCCCACCTCAACCTTCAAGGCCCTGTCCTTGAGTGGTTTAGGTCGTACCTTTCCCACCGTCTTCACTTTGTCTCCACAAATGGTTTTTCCTCCGGCCCCCGCACTGTCTCGTGCGGTGTCCCTCAGGGCTCTGTCCTCGGTCCCCTCCTCTTCACCCTCTATATGCTCCCCCTTGGTGACATCATCCGCAGACATGGGGTTAACTTCCACATGTATGCGGATGACACCCAACTCTACCTTTCCTCCTCTACCCTCAACTCCACGACCACCGATGTCCTGACAGCTGCCTGTCCGACATCGAGTCCTGGACGAGAGACAACTTTCTTCAGCTCAACGTGCGCAAAACTGAGGCCCTCCTGATTGGCTCACGTCAGCGCCTCCGCACCTCAGGCGCTGACACCATCAGCATCCAAGGCTGCACTCTCCACCTCTCAAAGCCAGTCAGGAACCTCGGTGTTCTGTTCGACCCTGAGCTGTCCTTTCTTCCACAACTGGCACCGCCTTCCATCACCTCCGGAACATCGCCAGACTATGGCACTACCTCACCCCTCACGCTGCTGAAACTCTGGTCCACGCCTTTATCACCTCAAGGCTGGACTATGGGAACTCTCTCCTCGCCGGCCTTCCCGGCACCTCCCTCCACACTGCAGGTCATTCAGAACTCTGCAGCTCGTGTACTGTCCCGCACCAGGACCACATCACTCCCACCCTCGCTCGCCTCCACTGGCTCCCCATCCCCCAGAGGATCGAATTCAAGATCCTCATCCTCACCTACAAGGCCATTCACGGCCTCGCTCCCTCCTACCTCTCCGACCTACTATCCCCCTACCTACCTGCCCGTACCCTCCGTTCCTCTGGCTCCGGTCTGCTCCACATCCCCCGCCCCAACCGCCCTACCATCGGTGGTCGGGCCTTCAGCCTCTCAGCCCCGAGGCTCTGGAACTCTATCCCCCAGTGCCTTCGCCGCTTCCTCCCTTTCCTCCTTCAAGGCCGGTCTCAAGACCTTTCTCTTTGACCGTGCCTTCAGCTCCCCTCTCGACTCTCTACCCCCTCCTCGCTCCCTCCCTCCCTTCCCTCCCCTCACCCTGACCATTTCCCCCTGCTCGGGTCCTGACCCAACTGTACAGCGCCTTGGGACGTCCTCCCGACGTGAAAGGCGCTCTATAAATGGAATCTTGTTGTTGTAAGGAAACTTGCCCAAGGTTTCGCCCTGCCGGGAATTGAACCCAGGTGTCTCGGTTGGAAGGCGAGTGTTCTAACCACTGAGCTACAGGACTCCATGAATGCTACATGTTGAAATACTACACTTCCCTTCGTGTATATTGCTGCATTCTTGATTTTGTTTTGTTCTCCTTTAAATGTTCTGGAACTTGATTTGCCACATATTTGCTCACCTTCACACATGTTTTTATTTTTAAGGTTGATTTGTTTCAATTGCAAGTAAATACACTGAGGCGCTACAAGAGACACTTCAAACTGCAAACCAGACCTGGACTAAACAAAGCTCAGCTGGCTGAGGTATGTTATACATCATAGATGTTTCTTTACGAATATATCTAGTTCTTGACCTGTGGAGGCTCTTGAGTGGTAATTCTAAAGCAGCCATTTGTGTTGTAAATGCTTATGTTGAATCCTATCGAACACTGGTAAATATAAGATACTGGGGGTCCTGTACTGGAACCAAAATCTCTGATTCCTGCGCACTCAGGGCCACAAGCTCAGACCCCTGTCCTAAAACTGTGCAAAAAAAAATGCTCTGATCGTCAGATTGCCACTGAGTCGCTTGCTGCACATTCCAAATACATAGTGTGTGACATGAAGCAATGTCAGTGGTGCTTGCTTGTCTTGGAAGTGATGTCTGGAGACCCGATGACCTGGAAGGTGGATATTTATTTTAGTGCAGAAAGCCAGCTAGTCAGCCGAAAGCTGGTGTACCATACTTCAGGTATAGCACAGGTCCACAATGCATCCCATTACACAGGGGAGCCACACTTAACAGTCAAGGCGTCTTATAATGGGGTCACTCTGTCGTTCCAGTTTAGGGAATGTTTTGCTGACCAGGGTCTTAATGTGAGTTGTGAATCAAACGGCACTTGTTTATGTGCGTAAACAAATTATTTATGACCCCAACAAGCTCAGATATGGCAATCCATTCCACTTCAGAACTTTCACTATCTTGGGCTGATTACATTTATTTTCATCGCAGGGGGTTTCCATCTCTTATATTTTCTATCCCACTCAAACTCTTGTCATCATTTAGGGAAGCTTCTTTCTGTAAACGTGTCCTTACGGGGACTGGATTCAGAATTTCCAAACTTACTCAACTCGGCTCAACATCCAAGGATTCCAATGCCCCCTCAATCTTGTTGAGCACTTGTGCTAAGGCTGTGTAACCTGGTATTGAGTTTAGCAATATTAGTGACTGTGACCATGCCCTGAAATCAAAATGTCCTATAATGTTTAAATGTCTCTTATTTCAGACAATCAGTCGTCATTTTAGGACCATTCCTGTGAATGAAAAGGAAACTCTTGCCTATTTTATCTACACAGTGAAGAACGACAAAATTAGGCACGACCAGAAACCTGATAGCAGCATTCACTGAGACCGACACTGAAGAATTTTTTAAGAAAGGAAGTTGATCACATGATCATGCAGTGACGAGAATTGGTTCCACTTTTAAAAGATTTTATTCTCAAGAATCCACAGGAATTGGCGTACCCAATTTCAGAATGTACTCGGTTTGCAGCCTGTGGGGATTTTGATGTGTGGAATTGAACAGTGTCGAAAAACGAGTCACAGAAATTAGAATTCCCACGTTTAATTAACTTGGTTTGTTTGGCTCCAGTCATGGTAAGAGAGAGTGCAATTTTGAGGTGGGTTTATTGAGTAAAAATAACTGGGTGGGGTGGGAGGAAAAAATATTTTTATGAGCAATGCCACTTTTAGCAGAATACCAGGAAAGGCCTTGGTAGAGATTTCCTGATCGAGGAGAGCTGCCTCTCTTCACTTGGTGCCTTTGCACAGCAGCGTGGATTGATTCAGAACCTCACTCACCGAGATCAGGAGGTTTCACATCTAATCCCACCAAAACATTTTTATCCAATTCTTTGTCTTTCTACTTAACTGTATTGGGAATTCATAAGCAGAACATTCAGTTGGGGGAAGTGATGGTGGAAGGGGACAAATCACAGATTTTGTTGATGCTTATAAATCTATTCAGCTTGCCACATTGTAAAACATTTATTGTAGTTAGAGGTAAGATAAATTTTTTGTCCTTGATGCTATGGTCAATTTAAAGTTGCATTCAGCTTTAGTGCACCGGATTTCCACACCTGTTACAGTGTTAACATGCAAAGAAATATACACAAACTGTATAATTGCACTGTCAGGATTTGTAATTATTGTACATGTGTCAATTACAAAGAGAGAAGGTGGGTGAGTCATAGTTGCAGAACATGTAGATGTGTTAACTTGAATTTGTGGGTTACTTTAGAGCAGGGATGCTAACTTGCAGGACGCATTACACATATGTAGAATAGTCGCATGAGCGCAAACTGGCCATCCATGCTTTAGAGCATTGCTTGTTGTCAATTTTGTATTAAACAAATGTGCACAAATTTTCCATTTTCCTATTTTTTTAAAAAAACACAATTATGCTCTATTTCTAGGCTTGAGATATGGAGCTTTTTGTCAGTGTTTGGAAATGAAGTCTGGTTCAATGTTTATTCAATATAGGATGCATGTTGGTATATTTAAATCCTTCAGGATTATTTTGTCTGCATCGGAGAAATTTAGGTGGGTATTTAATTAAATCCAGAGGAACTGCTCAATAAAGGAGTAAGAAATTAAACTAATTTCTTAAAGGCCTGTTGGCTTAGTGCTGAACATGTGGTACTCAGCACACAGATTGGGAAGGTGTCAGGCTTAATCCCTGATCCACGTTATGTTCACTGGTGTCATCCAGACAGTGTTTTGGCCGTCAAGTCAGTCTCTATATTGCTTGGCCAGGGTGAGAGAATGTTGACTAACTTCTAGCTGTTTCTCGTTGATTCCTGTTATAAAATAGGCTTGTGTGGATGTCTGGTGGCAGATCAGCTTGGCAAAATAGCCTGCTGTGCAGGAAGAATGAGTAACTCTTGGATTAATTACTGTGGGGCTGCCAGTGTTATGTGCATGAACTCTTTACCACCCCACCACGCACACACTATTTTTGGGTAGAGGGAAGGGGAAAAGAAAAAGAGTGCGCGAAATTGTAGGAAAACCAGAAACTTCCATTATGTTAGTAAATCAATGTGACCAGAGTAAACCAACATCATAACTCCTCCAGCATTGATCATGAGTCTCAGGATGCCATCTGACACAAATGGAGATTTTGGCGACAGAATAACAAATTGCCTCCCAATCCTTGACAGCATTATTAATGTTTAAGTCAACTGCCTGTATCTCAAGAGATATGTGGGTTCCAATACTAATGGAAAGTGAAGTAATGCCTGACTTTTTTCCAAAACTATTTTTTCCTCTAATTTTGTTGCAGCTGATGTGTTGTATTCCTGCCACCAGTTGCCCTGACCAGATAATGGTTACCAGGTTTTGCTGTGATGTCATATGGCTAGTGATGTGAAAGGATAATGCTGGAAGAGTCTTAACAGAAAAGATCTGTCCTTAGACCGAGGTTAAACCGAGGTCCTGTCTGCCTGTTCAGATGGACATCAAAGATCCTATGGCTACTATTCAAAAACAAGGGAGTTTCTCTCTCCTGGTGTCCTGGCCACCAATCCCTCAAATAAAATTGGTCATTCACTCCATGGCTGTTTGTAGGACATTGCTGTGTGCAACTGGCTTGCACCCACAAAACAGTCACTCCACTTTAGAGTAAATCCTGTGAAGCACTTTGAGATGTTTTAATAATAATACTTGCATTTGATATAGTGCCTTATCACATCTTTGAGATGTCTCAAAGTGCATCACAGAATATACTGTAAAGTGAATTGACTACATTTTGTGGGTGAAATGCGGCAGTCAATTGCACACAATGACGTGATAAGGCACTATATTCCAAAATGATGCAAAGATTGAGATCTGGTTCATCTCAATCATAACTAGCAATTGCTGTCACCTGCCTGGCAAGGCCATGCATCACCATTGCAATCTGCTTCCTTTCTGGTCACATGAAAAAAAAGTCACCTGTCTAACTCTTTTGCAAATTTCACAAGAGGTAGGGTGGAACACAGTCGTGGAAAGAGGAGGGAGAGAGAGAGAGAGAAAGAAAGAGGGTTGTAACTATAGGAGGGCGAGGTTGAAGTGAAGAGATAGAATTTTGTAGGGGAGGAAAGACGAGCTGTATGGGAGACCAATAAGAGGGAAAATGCATATGCCTGAGAAAGCGGCCCTGTGTGACAGGAGTGGCAGGGAGTGAGAAGTGAGAGCAGAGACTGGCGGGGACCTGGTACTGTTTGGGAGGGGTTGATTGTCACTGTAGGGGAGTAAGAAAATTGTCATTGTGGGGGAGAGAGGAGTGCTGGCTTTGTATGTGGGGAGGAGGGAGATCCGACAGGTGTATTTGTGGTAGCTTCAACTAATTTTCCTTTTATTTTTCATTTTCTCCTTTCCCTTTAACCCCTGCAATGCTCCCTTATGGAGTTTGTTTTAGGGAAAGACAAAATCTGAGGGACACTTGAGAAACTGATTAATTTTTAATCTCTCTCCTGGTGGCTTTCAATTGCACAGCTGGTGCATCAGTTGTATGTCTTTAATAGTTAAAGGGTTTAAATAGCTGGTGGTTGACGTTCATTTTCTGTGTGGACAAGAACACAGAAGGTATTCTAATGCTTCATTAACATGCAATCCGGTGTGGACAAGAACACTGTTGTGTGCCACGGTGATGAGAAGGTATTCTAATGCTTCATTAACATGCAATCCAGGAAATGAACAAAACACAATACTGCAGATGCTGGAAATTTGAAATAAAAACGGACAGAGCTGGGAACACTCAGCAGGTCAGGCAGCATCTATGGAGAAAGGAAAGTAAGTCAACGTTTCGGGTCCACGACCCATCATCAATGTTCTGGGCCCAAAATGTTGACTCACTTTCCTTTCTCCATAGATGCTGCCTGACCTGCTGAGTTTTCCCAGCTCTCTGTTTTTGATCCAGGAAATGATCTGCCCCAAATACGTCAGCCTCTAGGTCTGAAACAATCTTATTTACTCCTGTCTGGAAACTGCACAGCCTCATAAATCAGCCAACACCATTTCAAAATTGAGCGTTAAACAAAATGGCCTTGTAATTTGATCTGTCACAGCAATATTTTAGTTTGCAAGGTGCGATTTAGGGTTCTACTACATTCAGTGCTCGCGACTACTGACTTGTAACTATGAATGCTCATGCCACGATCCTTGTTTCTGAGGAACATCAGTCTGCATTTGTTCATCTTACTTAATCATGCTAGGTCTTTTTTGCTTTAAAATGGCAATTTTTGCTTTAAAATCTCTGCAGTTTCAGAGTGAGAAGGGAAAATATAGGAATAAATCAGCAAGTGGTTAGAAGCTACATTAGTTGGGGCATTTGACAGCCTCTTAGCCCAAACCCTGAATAATTACTGTACCAAATAGAGATTAGGGTAATTCTGGGTTATTTATTAAACAAATCAAGTCGGAAACTGCTCTGGTCAAGGTCACAAACGACATCCTGACCATGTGTGACCAGGATCCCTCCTTGTACCCCTCTACCTCTCCGCTGCCTTTTTGACACTGTGGACCACTCAATCCTCCTCCACTGCCTCTCCTCCCACCTTGACCTTCAAAGTTCTGTCCTTGACTGGTTCAGGTCCTACCTTTCACACCACCTCCACTTCGTCACGGCAAACAGCTTCTCCTCCAGCCCACACACCGTCTTGTGTAGTGTTCCTCAGGGCTCTGTCCTCGATCCCCTCCTCTTCACTCTCTACATGCTCCCCCTTGGTGACATCATCTGCAGACATGGGGTAAATTTCCATATGTATGCGGATGACACCCAACTCTACCACACTGCCTCCACCCTTAACTCCAGGACTACTGAGGTCCTGACCAATTGCCTGTCCGTCATCGAGGGCCAACTTTCTCCAACTCAACGTTAGCAAGACCAAGGCTCTCCTGATTGGCTCGTGCCATGGCCTCCGCACTTCAGGGGCTGGCAGTATCAGTCTCCATGGCTGCACACTCAACCTCACTAACCCAGTCAGGAACCTGGGTATCTTGTTGAACCCTGACTGTCCTTTCTCCCCCACATCCGTGCCAGACTGGCACTGCCTACCCCACCTCTGCAACATTGCCAGACTCCGCCACTGCCTCACCCCTCAGGCTGCCAAAATCCTTACCCACGCATTCGTCACATCAAGGCTCGATTATGGAAATTCCCTCATCGGCCTTCCCAACTCTTCACAAGCTGCAGATCATCCAAAACGATTACGAACCAGGCTCTGCGACCCCATCACTCCCACTCTCCCGTCTCGACTGGCTCCCCATCCCCCAGAGGATTGAGTTCAAGATCCTCGTCCTCACCTTTAAGGCCATCCATGGCCTTGCCCCCTCCTACCTCTCTGACCTGCTGACTCCTAACCAACCTGCCCGCTCCCTCCATTCAGAGGGCTCTGGCCTGCTCCCTGTCTCCCGCCCTACCATCAGTGGCCGGGCTTTCAGCCGCTCTGCCCCCGCACTCTGGAACTCCATCCGACAGTCCCTTCACCTCACTTCCTCCCTCGCATCCTTCAAGGCCGGTCTCAAGACCCTTCTCTTTGATCGTGCCTTTGGTCGCCCTTCCACATCTCTGCCTTCCCTCACCCCTACACCACCTCTCTCCCATGCTCAGGCCCCGGCACCTGACTGTACAACGCTTTGGGACGTCCTCCCGATGTGAAAGGCGCTTTATAAATGTAATGTTGTTGTCTAGATATTGCTAAAACATGTTTAGTAACTCATTAGTGTCCTGTAATGGAAAAGCACTGATTTTATAAGTTCATATAGATGAGGAAGATCTCAGTCAATTGCTAATGAAGTTGATCTCAGTTGGATGGCAGCCATATATTACATTGATGTAACATCCTGGGTTAAGCAGCAGAATTTCTGTGCCCCCGCCCACCCAACACACACACACACACATACATTTGCAAATTCACAGAGCTGGGTGTGGGCGAAAGACCAGGTCAGGCTTTTTCAGCAGTCTAATTCCTGAACCACTGTTGATGACAAACCAGCCGGCTTCAATTAGAAGAGACTACAATGTATACTACATTCGCTGCTCACAATATGGTCTCCCCTGCACCGGGGAGACCAAACGTAGATTGGGTGTCCGATTTGCCAAACATCTCCCTTCTGTCCACAAGCACAACCCTGAGCTTCTGGTTTCTTGTCACTTCAATTATCCCTCCTACTCGTACTCTGACCTCTCTATCCATGGTCTCCTACACTGCTCCAATGAACCACTGCGCAAGCTCAAGGAACAGCACCTTTTTTATCTGCTAGGGACATTTGTTTTCAATAATTTCAGACCATAACAGCTCACCTTTCCCCCTCTTCTGCGACCATTACCACATCATCTTGATCTCAGACACCTTTACTCCTTCAAGGCCGGTCTCAAGACCTT